CTACTCAGTGTCTGACTCTGGTGCCCCCTACTTGCAGTGTACAATTGTGGCTGCAGCCGGAACCTGAGACCTGGCAGACAACACACCTCCCACTCCCACTCCCACTCCCACTCCCAGCTGTGCCTTTTATTCTCCCACTTCCAGGCGTTTCTCTGAGGCATGTGACCCTCCCTGGTGGGATGGCCCTCTGGACATCAATATGCATGCACACGTAGGCATATGAGTGTACTCTGTCTGCTAGGAGGTGGTTGACAGTGAGGGAGTGACTAATACTCTGGCTCCCTTTATGAAAGGCCTCTTAGCCACACTGAGGACACATGAAAGGGTCTCAGAAAAGCATAATGCAGGAAAATGAAAGCTGAGAGAGACAGATCTACTAGCCATAAGGAACCTGGATGCTGTGGTCTCTCAGTATGGAAGCTGACCAAGACCCTGATTGTAGCCAAAATAACCAGAGAAGCTAGGCTAGGGTTCAAAAGAACGGAGGGTACAGGAGCTTATACGGCAGGGCAGCAGGAGCCTAGGGCTAGGAACACTTTCAGAATAACAGGCATTGAGAGCTCTTGTGGGCTGGAAAAGATTCCCCAGGGCCTACTCTTGTCATGATTTGGCCTGCTGATCTCTTTCTGGCTTCCTTGCTGGTCTTTCAGCCCTGTGCTCCCTCTACTCAGCAAGCTGTAACACCCAGGGCCTCACTCTAAACAATCTGACATTTCACCTTGAGCTCCTCCTCAGAGACTTCTAGGACCTCTCATCTCTCCCAACATTAAGTCCAAACTCGCTGGCCAGGTATGGCCAGTGTGGCCCCAAGCCATCCTTGAGACTCACTCCTCACTGGCCCTTCCTTGACCTTCAGACACTAGACTATTTATGTTTCTTGTGTCCTCCCATGTCTCTGTTCATGATTTCCCTCCATCCGTGTCCTTCCCAGGTCTCTCCCAGCCAATTAGTCTTCAAGCTTTACACAGTCATTACCTCATTTTTCCTTGAGATTTTGCTTGTCACCAAGTGCTGGACTCGGGGCTTTTATTTCTGCAGTGATGAGCTTCCTTAATCTGTGTACCTACTGCTCCTGTCACATTCCTGAAGGTGATCTGCTGAAACCATAGCTCACCTGAGACTGGAGGCTCTAAGTACAGTGGCTAGGTTTGTCACGCTGTGTATTATTCTTAGCTGCCTTTTGAACAGCCGAGATGTCACTCCGTCTAATGAGGACCAAATTTCAAGACTAGACTGTTTTCCTTCTGCTTTGGGGCTTCTCACAAAGTTGATTTTACAGAGCATAAATGGTCTATGCCTTTGTGAATGCTGCCACCCTGTGGTTTCAGATAGAAGTTCTCTGAAGTTAGTACTAGCGTATTACATAGGTTTTGTTTTTGGTTTTTTGTGACATCTTCTTTGTGTCTCAGACTGGTTTGGTAATCGTTAAGTAGGCTGAGATGGCAGCCTCCTGCTTCAGCTTCCCGAATGTTAGGATCATAGACATAAACCTCCAAGTCTTGCTTTTGAATAGTCTTGAGTTTGAAGGGACAAAGATTGGAGGAAGAAAATCAAATGACGCTTGGGAGCAGTGGGACATCTGTGTGGTCAGAAAGCCAGAGTCCAAGAGTCAAGCCAAAGACGGGGGACAGAGCTGGGGGACAGAGCCAGGGGAGGCAGGGAAGCACGGGGGTTCTTTTAGGCTATTCTGTGAATAAATCTGAATCTTCTCCTCTGAGAATGGAGGGCACAAGGAATGAGAGTGGGATCTCAGTGTCCCCACACACTCTGAGGCTCAACAATCATCCCTTCTTCCAAATGATTATCACACATCTGCTGGGTGTAAATCATGTTGAAGACTCTCAGGTCACTTCCGTGAAGAAAGCAGACATCTGCCCGTTTGGCACCCACATTCTCACCAGGAGACATTAAAGTTTTATTTCATTTATCTCTTATGTATATGGGTGTTTTGCTTGCATATATGTGTGCTACATGCATGCCTGGTGCCCAAGGAGGCCAGAAGAGCGAGTGGGATCCTCTAGGACTGGAGCAGCAGATGACTGCAAGCCACCACGTGGTTGCTACAGATCAAACCTGGGTGCTCTTATCCATGGAGCCTCCACTCCAGGTCCCCAAAATGCTATCTTAAAGAAGCCGATTATATTTAGAGGGTAAAAGAATGCATGTCAAAAGGGGGCAGGGCTGTGGTAAAAGCACTTGCTGGCAAGTTTGATGCCTAAGTTTGATCTCCAGGTCCCACTTGATAAAAGGAGAGAACGGACTCTTGCGAGTTGTCCTCTGACCTCTGTCTTGAGCTGTGGCACATGCATGCCCACACACCCACTAAATAAATAAACATAATAAAATAGAAAGCCACCTTTTGAATGGCTGGCCTCTGGAACCATCTGCTGTTGTAAGCTACTCAGTCTGTGGCACTTTGTTCTAACAGCCCCCATGAAGTTCCTATCGCTGAGGCGTTCTGCGTCACCCACCCAGGTTGCTTGTGAGGACTCCAGGTCACAGAACCCTGTGCTCTTTTAACTTTCCTTCTAACGTAGTGTGGGTGCCACGCCCTGTTCTCGAGGTACTATTCCGTCTTCGCTTGTTCCTGTCTCAGTCTGAGTGGAGACTCCTGGAGCCCACATTCTGCTAAAGACATGCGAAGTTCACAGTCATCAGCCTACACTGGGCTTATGTCTTTGCCGTGTCAGATCTGGTCATCTCTCTCAGCTGCAACAACTGTCTCAGGCATCCCGGCCCCACCCCCTGTTTCTTCCTGCTCTGTGGAGAAGACTTCTGGATTCTCAGGTCCCACCTGCATTCCCACACGGTCTGCATCCTTGCTTGCAACTCTTTTCCTCCTGTTACAGGAAGTCATCTTTGTTCCTACTTAAAGAAATTTTATTGTTGTCTGTCAATGTGTGAATGTGAATGGAGGTCCGTTTTCTTTTTCTGTGTGGGTTCTGGGATTGAACTCAGGTTAAGCTTGGTGCCAAGTGTTTATCCTCTGAGCCATCTCACCCACCCATGCTCCTTCTTAAAAAAAAAAGTTAGTGTTTTGCTACACATATGCCTGGTGCCTGACAAGGTTGGAAGAGGGTATCAGATGCCCTAGGACTGGAGTAAGCTGCCATGTAGTCCTAGGAATTGAACAAGTGCTTTTTTCTTGTGTATGTATATGGATGTTTTGTCTGCTTATATATCTGGGCACCAGAAGAGGGTATCAGATCGAATGGGACTATAGTTAAAGACGGTTGTGAGCCACCATGTGGTTGCTAGGAATTGAACCTGGGTCCTCTGGAAAAGCACCCAGAGCTCTTAACTGCTGAGCCACCTTTCTGGCCCCAGAACAAGTGCTTCTAACTGCTGTGCCAACTCCCCTGCCGACCGCTCCTACTCTTTGAAAGGTCCCTACTCTGAGGTTCTCTCCCAACCTCGAGCAGTTTCCCTCCAAGGCTTCATCTCTGGTTCTCTCCCAGGTGTTCCTTCTGGAGATGTCAGAGCCAGGCAGACTTCCTAGGGACCGCAGGTTAGGGAGAGTACCCTAGAACCTGTCCTCCCAGGGGATTCTGAGCACAGGTGTTTCTCTTCACATCCCCTCTCTAATCGTTTTGGACATCTCAGATGATTTTTAACTAGGCAACCCAACTGGGAGTCCCTTCCTGGTTTCTGAAGCTCATAAAGATGTCCTACTGAATCACCTGCCCGGTGTTAAGTTACTATCTTTATTACATGCGATTGCTTTAACCAAAGCACTGATCAGGATGGGATGCAAGATCAAAACGTGTCAATAATTAGCTAGGTAGTGGTGGCGCACGCCTTTAGTCCCAGCACTTGGGAGGCAGAGGCAGGCGGATTTCTGAGTATAAGACCAGCCTGGTCTACAGAGTGAGTTCTGGGACAGCCAGGGCTATACAGAGAAACCCTGTCTCAAACAAACAACAAACAAACAAACAAAAAGTATCAATAATTTACAGAATAATTCTGTAAATTATTCTGGAAATAAAAGAAAAAATATGAACACATGAAAATGAAAACATTTTCTATAGTCCTGCTATAGTCCGAATCTGCAAAAGCCCCAATTTTATTTGCTTATAATTGGACATCCAGATTACTAGACACACTGGAGAAAACCTCGATTCACAGCAAGTAGAGTTGATCAATTCTTGAGACTATGGCTGCTTCCAATCCCACTCTCCTGCATGGAGCCATCTGACTTGCCAATACAATCATTGTTTCTTCAGATGCCTGTGGTAAATCTGAACCAAAGGCCAAAGGGAGGCATTAAAAAAACAGCAATGGGGAAAGGGCAAGAATGCCGTCTCAAGAGACATGTGGGACTGAGGTCTACTCTCAAGAAAACAGCGGGGCTGGAGAGATGGCTCAGTGGTTAAGAGCACTGACTGCACTTCCAGCGGTTCTGAGTTCGAATCCCAGCAACCACATGGTGGCTCACAACCATCTGTAATGAGATCTGATGCCCTCTTCTGGTGTGTCTGAAGACAGCTACAGTGTATTCATATATAATAATAAATAAGTATCTTAAAAAAAAAAAGAAAACAGCACATTAGCAAACCTGAGCTTCCTTTTAACAAGTGTATAGCACCAGGTGCTCAGGTGGTACCTGAGGGTCAGATGTGTTCATCTTTATAAGTTTTATAAGTCTAATGAGGTAAGCACCCTACTCCCCCCTTTATGGATGAGAGTGATAAGACCCAGAGAAGTAACCTTCATCGAAAACCACAGAGCAGTAACTTGGGACTAGAACCAGGATTAAACCCTGAGCTGCCAAGCCTGAGTTCACGATCCCACTATACTAAATAAAACATATGCCACAGATGGGAGACATGCCTGAGCTGGCCAAGACCCAGCCCAGCTTAAAGCAGGTGGCAAAAAGCCATCCAGGTTACTGCTGGAACTTTTATTGATACCAGACTCACCATCTAGTGCCAACCTAACCGTATCCTTCCTGCTTCCAGCCCAGGAGCTCCTGGGATAAAGCCAAGCATCCCACTTACACATCAGGCCAAACAAACGGGTACAACCTTTATTTCCCTTCCCTGGTCGGACGTCAGAGAAGGCATGTGAGACATACTGTAGAGACAGAATAAGCCCTTCTCAAGCAGCCTTTAACTCAGCACTGACCCACACCAGTCTCTGTAACAGTCCCATCCCACTTTCCAGAGGGGAGGGGACGTTCTTCTGTAGACTTAATCCTCACTGGCATGTTGAGCAATCACAAGCGCTTCTTAGAGAAGGCACAGATATTCAGGTCTAGAGTACAGTCAGGCCCAGATCTTCAGGACCGGGTGTCCCGAGCCCTCCTTCGGGGTCTGGGACCACAGCTGGAACTAGGTATGGAGCCCAGGCCAGGAGGTGCACCTGGGGGTTGGTAGCCACATTCACTGGGGTCCAAGGGGTCCCGACTAAGCAGTACCCACACTGCAGGCACATGGCGTCGGACTGTGAGGGGGTCTAGACCTGTGTCCGGAGAAGTTGGGACCCAGCTGTCCTCAGTTTGCAGGAATCGAAGCTTGGTGAGCTGGTGTAGGCCTGGAACCCGCCGTTTGACAATCTCTGCACAGCTGACAGCCTTTCCAGCAGCCCGGCCAGAGCCTGAGAACACCACGTGCCGTGTGCTTCCCCCTTCCAACCGACCCAGTGCCAGCCCGAGCAGGTTTCGGATTTTGCTTCCATCTCGGACTCGCATTTCCAGAGTGTCCGGAGGTAGCTGGGGCATTGGTGAGGAGGCTGGGAGCTCTACAGAGCCAGCCCTCCGGTAGTGTTCCATTCTGCTCTCGCGGCTTTGGTGAATCTCTCTGGATATGTACTGCGGGGGGAAAAGTCAGATGAGTGGCAGAAACATGACCAGGTCCATCCTCCATCACTCCCTCCTGTTCCTCACCACGGAAGTGGGTTTGCGCCCTCATCCCAGCGTCTCAAGGCCGAGGCCAAGAATTATCTATCCCTTAGATCCTTTTCTAAATTTATCCACGAGTCTCTAACACTGACAAAACCAAATTCCCCCAAACCAGGCTCTCTGGCGGAAAGACTGCTTTATCTTCTTAAAGCACAGGGGCTAGGTCCCAGACCCCTCGCCCACAACTCGCTAGGAACAGGCGGGCTCTCCTCACTAGGCTTCAAGGACTGGGACAAGGCTCCCTCACTTAGTGCTTCCAGAGACGCTTGGCCCCAGACTTCCTGGGGCACAGCCACAAGTCCTCACAATGTACTCCCCAAAGAAAGACTCGACCCCGCCTACGGTGGGTGGGGGGCAGAGTTGCCCTCATCCGCAGATTAACAGAGTAGGCTGGCTTGAACCGGGGCACTCGGGAACCGGCGAGTGAGGACTCCACGGAGGGCTGCTGGGATTACTCGTGAGCGGTTGGCGGGCTCCCCGATCCTGGGCCGCTATCCCAGGCAGCCGGCATCCCCTTTCCCCAGCTCTGAGTCCCTATGCCCTGGGATTTGGCTCTTACCACGGTCGCCAGCAGACGCTCGACCCTCACGGAGTAGCCAAGATGGCGCGCAGAACGAGAGCGCGCGGAGCCGCGGGGCCGCGCACGCAGGGGGCGGGGCTTGAGGGAAACCTGGGGTGCGGTTCGGCTCAGCGGAGTGGATGCTGGCAACTGGCTTGCCTCGAGGATCGGCGCGACGATCCCGGAGCAGCCCGGTACCTTCAGAGGGCCCACCCGGGAGAGGAGCAGCTATCAGAGGAGCCCTGCGCCTGAAGACTGTAGATTTGTGCCTTTAAAAGATGTATGGCATGCGTCACCTGTTGACACACCGCAACAGCGAAGGCGAAGCCCCTGGAGCATACAAGCAGGCGAGACTCTTAGTTACGGAATTCTGAGCTTTATTCTCATCCTAGGACACTGGACAGCCCCGGCGGTTTGCAGTAGGGCCTAAGCCATAGCTTGTGCATAACTCATTGGCCATAGAGGGTTGGCGGGCGTATAAGCTGGGTGGATCCGGTAGTGAGGACAACAGATACTGGTGACCCTGGGAAGGCGCTGTACTCAACATCACAGAGCCTAGACCAGTATCCAGAGTAAAATAGGCCCTCCAATATTTGTCTAATGATATGTTAACCACCAAGAAGAATTGAGAAGAGGTGGTAGAAAACTTGATAAAAACTCGTATGAAGTTTTGGGGAAGAACGGGCAACTATTTGGGTAGAATAGTCTAGGATGACTGCTAGTTCAGATCAGTTTGGACATGCTGCAGTTTGGATGACAGCAACTCTACAGGTTGGCTGCTGTGCAGGTAGTTGAAGGAGCTAAGGCAGGCCCTCAGACCACAAGAGGGCAGCATACACTTTATGGAGCTCAACTGGTTTCTATCTTTCTCATCTAGATACCCTGATCTTCCTTCCCTCCCCAAGGCCCTAAAATTTCCTATATCCAAACCTCTTGGCCTTCCTCTCTGACTACTGGTATTATGTAGACACAAGGCTGTGCTGCCTTGGCTCTGAACGTCCCTGCCTGTTCCTCCATGACCTCTGACATGTGGGCCTACCTGGTTTTCCTCAAACTTTGTGTAGAGATTAGGAGTACCTACCTGTGCCCTCCTTATTTACCACAGGATATGATATTTAGAGGGTAATTGGCAAGTATGGGATAAATAAATATACAATGTCCCGCTGTACCAGTCAAATGATGTGCAATACTCAAAGATGCCAGAAGAAGGCATCAGATCCTCTGGAATTAGAGTTGTAGGGGAAGGTTGTTAGTGGCCATGTGGGTGTTGGGGACTGAACCCATACCCTAAGGGCTGAGCCATCTCTCCAGCACCTCAGTCTCTCTTTCTAAAGTCTTTGAACTTGAGAAAAGATAATTCACCCGCTGACATTTCTCAGCAAACCAGATCAGGGGTATAGCTCCTGGTCCCACCTCATAGGGTGGAGAGCTCTCCCCTTCACCACCCAGATCCTCACCCAAGCCCACCCTGCATCAGCAAGCCAACACACTCCTTTTGTGGTATCTGCAGTTTACTGTCACTGGAATAAATACATTGACGGAGTACAAATCATGACTCTAAGGTAAACCTGACCTCTGACCTCAGAGCCCCCAGTTGAACACAGACAGGTAGTATTTGAATTCAGAGACTTGCTGTCTCCGCTTTATAAAGACAGGCTGGTGTGAGGCCCTGGAGCCTGCCTGTCTTCCCCTGCTGGGGACATGGGGAGCGGCTGTCATTCTTCTGCTGGCTTCACTTGCTTGGCAGCCTCTAGCTGGCTGAGTAGTTCATCCCACTGCACAAACTGCTTGGAGAGCAGCATTGTCTGGAGAGAAGTCAAGGTGACAACAGAAGTGTGATGGAAGAAGCAGAGACTGCATGTGCCCAGAGGGGTGAGGGCGGGGCCGAGGCTGGGATGAGACTGCAGGAGGGGGAGGAGAATACCCACTAAGGAGCACGAAGCACAAAAGATACAGTCTTGTTATACTCCTCCAGGAGAGCCTTGGACTCCTCAGTGATCTCCACACACTGGTCCTGTAAGCCAAAGTATAGCTGAGCAGTTGAGTAAAGGCCCACGTCCCACTCAACTTCCTGCCTCATCATTCCCTCCAAACCCAGAAGAGATGGCGCTTGAATAACCTAGAGTAAAAGGAGCAAACTACGAAACAGGTGCTCTCCATCCTAGGCCCGTTCCCGAAACAGACGACCAAAGACTGACAGGAGGGGCTGCTTCCACACATTAACACCCCCTCCTCTTCTGTCCCTATGTTTTTTAAGGCTTTATTATTTTTATTTTCTGTGTATAGGTATTTTGCCTGTTTGTGGGCGCACCATGTATATGCAGTCCTCAAAGATGCCAGAAGAAGGCATCAGATCCTCTGGAATTAGAGTTGTAGGGGAAGGTTGTTAGAGGCCATGTGGGTGTTGGGGACTGAACCCATACCCTAAGGGCTGAGCCATCTCTCCAGCACCTCAGTCTCTCCTTCTAAAGTCTTTGAACTTGAGAAAAGATATTTCACCTGAAGTCAAAAAACAGATCCCCAGGCATGACTGCCTACCTTTCAACTTCAACCTTCTAGTGTCTCAGAAAAACCATTCTGGAAGGCAGGAGACCTGCATGTGGCTCTAGGCAAGTCCTTCCCCTCCCTGAGGGCATTTGGAAATAGAGGATAAACCTCTATGGATAGCACAAAGGTCTAGGAGTCTTGGTGTGGGTGACAGTGGACGGTGGGGGAAGGGACAGAGCTGACAGGATGCCCTATCATGTCTACCTTCTCTTCTAGTCTTTCCATACCTGCTGTTGGATGTGGATCTGCGCCAAGCGCTGCAGGCGGGCAGCATGCTCAGGAACAGCTGTAAAACACAGCGCACACCGCCTGATGATGTTTGTGCCCTCCCCCGGGACTGCTCAATAGTCTATTAGGTCTTCCACAGGATTAGAGTATTGAGTGGAGAAGCTAAACAAACGCTGGGCTTCATCGACTGCTGTAGCTGGAAGGGGGAGGGGGTGCTCCCTGCCTGCCCCAGCTTTACTCCAAGACCTAAGAGGTGGGGGTGGGGCTGAGGGTGGGGGTGGGTAGAACAGGTGCCCAGAAGACAGAACCTTAAGGTCCTCAGTATTGCTTGCTATGAGGAGAGCCAAGTAAAGAGACTATACTTATTACAGGCCCTGCCCCTTTACTGTCAGCCCAGCAGGGCTAGCTTACTAGCCTAATGGATAGGGAGCTTGGGTGGGCTGGAAATGAATCCCAGGTCCTACACACTGGCCCCTTGGATTCCCCCACACTGGCAGCCTTGCCCGCAGCTTTAGGCTGTCAGATACTCAAGCGGGTAGCTGATCAGGGGAGGGACGGGAGCTGAGAGAAATACCTAGAGACAGACAAGATGGATATCTGGATTCAATTAAAGTCACTGCCTGCTTGTCAAGGCCCAGGCCCAGGGACTCTTAGCAGTGCAGCAGGAAAACATCACACGCCTGGCAGGAGTTCTGACAGTAAGATGTGGGCTCTGAAGCACCCTGAGAGACGTGGAGGGCAGGGAGAAAGCAATAGGAATATCTGGGGTTGGGACTGCTGGGGCATATGCTTGTGTCTTAGGACAAACTGCCTGAGGTCCTGGATCTAGGCTCTTACTTGGGAACTGTAACCATTCAGGTAGTGGGTTCCCATAGGGTAGAACTATAAGGAAGAGATCCAGCATTAGTACAGGGAAGCCTTGGCCCCATCCACCCCCTCCCCCAGCACGAGAGTGAAATGCAGCCCCGCAGGGGTACCTTTGATAGAAGCGCTGTCCAGTATGGGCACCAAGGCGTTCACCTGTTCCAAGAGTGCCACCTGGGAGAGGATGAACTGTTCCTCTGAAGCACAAAGACAAGATGACAGCAGGGACACAACCATGGACATAGCTACACCTGTGTGTGGAGCTGTGTACCGGCAGGTGGAAGGCTGGGCCCCTTCCCTAGGTATGCATTCCCACTCCGCCCCACCTCCCCGGATGCTTCTGTCTGACTCATCCTGAGCCTAAGGAGCATCTCTGTCTCTACAGACCCCTGCCCTCACATTTTAACTCCATAGCCTCCTTTTCCACGCTTGTCAATAGCTCAGCAAGTGTTCCTGGTTCACAGGAGACAGAGTACTTCAGACTTGGCTTCCCTAATCAAGGGCCCCAGGAACAATCTGAGAGGAGACATGAGGCAGACTGTATCAGGTGGGTTCTACTCACTGGCTCTCAGAGGCACAGGTAATTACAAATGACAGGGGAGCTGACACAGAGTGGGAAAGGCCAGTGTAGACAGAAGCAGGATCTAGGTTCTCCATATACAAGGGGTTCCAGTGTATTAAAATCTACAGAGCGGAAGGTGTTCAGGGACAAGGCTGTAGTGTGCAAACAAATAGAGAGGAAGGGACACTTGCCAGTCAGAATTCACTGAGCTGTCGGGGAGGGCAGGCCCAGGAGACTGAAAGGCTAAAGTGTTGAGATCTTATCCTAGGAAGGAGAAGACACTGGGGCTCCTGAGTAGGCCAAGATATGATGGAAATGCCCACGAAGATGTGACATGCAGAAAAGGAACGGATAATTTGAGTATACGACTGTCTTTGTGTAAGTGGATGCCTGCTTCCTGAGGCAGAGCACAGGAAGGGACGGGGAGGCCGGAAGAGTCCTTGAACTTGGTGTCTGAGCTATGGCCATGGAGCTAGGAGACTTTTGGGAACTCTGACAGCTCCTCTCAGCAGGAGCTGCCCCTCCTCCCCAGTCCTCAGTGTCACACAGTCATCATTCTCTCAAGTAAGTGACAAGCTCAGGTTCCTAAAGCAGGGACAAGTACATGTACTTGTGTTCATAAGGACAAAGACTTTCTGGTTCACCACTGTATGCCTTGTGCCCAGAATAAAGCCAGGTTCACAGTATATGATCAATAAATATTTCCTGTTTCACTTTAATTTTTTTTTCTTATCCTTTTTTGAGATGGGAGCATGTTATATTGACCGAGGTTAACCTTGAGCTTGTAATCCTCTTCCTCAGTCTCCCAAGTTCTTAGGACTCTAGACACATGGCCACTGTGCCTAGCTTGGTTTCTACTGGATGAATGAATAGACGCCAGAGGTCAGAAAACTCTGCCTGCAGAATGTCAGACTGACTAGAATCTCTGCCTAGAATGCTGGAGTCCCAGTGATCTCTCCCAGAAGAGAAAGATGCTGAGCTTTCGGTGAGAGCCACCATCTTCATAATTTGCCACAATGGCAAATGCAAAGGGGAAGAAGAAAGGAACCTGCTGTATGTTCTCTATAGAAAGCAAGCACAGGGGCTGGAGAGACGGCTCGGCTGGCGGGAAAGAGCATCCTGTTCTTCTAGAGGCCCCTGTTCAGTTTCCAGCACCCACTGACAAGTTGTCCCTTTGGCCACATATATGTGAGTCTGTAAGGGTGACATTGTAGACATCAGGAGAATAGGTACAGTTCAAAAAGGAATACCCTATGTTAGGGCAAAACAGGGAGAGCCACAGTGGCTCTCCACATACTATAGGCATTGTCATGGACAGTTAAGGGCAAAGTTCTTGCAAAGAGCATCAACATGTGACCGGCATGTGTTGTACTCTAAGAGCTGAGACAGCTTCCTGAAATGAGTGAAGGGAAAGGATCCAGAAAGAAGCCAGAGAAAGGCCCCTGTGTGAGCTGAACGCTGCCCCACCCAGGGGAGCTCAGTCATGAGAACAGGAGAGGAGAGCCTGAGTGGCTAAAGCCGGTTCCCAATGAATGTACTGTGACTTAATGTACAAAAAGAAAAGATATGGACCATGAAAAACACAGAATGACTCTCATGCTAGTATTCTCCCTTCTCCTGGATGGTAATGCTCTTTGTGCCTGCCCCTTCCAGGGAGGGGCCATGGACAGAACACTGAAGAGTGTCTATACGCCTGGCACTATGGTGTGCAGCTGACCCAGAGGTATATACTACTTCACCCAGTGCTGACTACAAAACCCACCTTGTGCCTCAGTCCAGAGCCAGGCCAGAACAAGAAGGTAGTTGACAGGCTATATGTATATCACAAAAGTGGAGGGGAGCCATCACTGTGCCTGATTCCTCCACCCCTGATATCCTCAGTGCTTGTGCACCGAGGTCTAGCATTACCTGCTAAGATGAACTGCAACTTGGAGGCCTCAGGTATGGCAATGCGATCAATGTACTCAGGATCCAGGTATTTGATCAGGTCTTCAACTGCCAAAAAACGCAAGAGAGGAAAAAAAAAAAGACTTAGAAATGGAACCTTATTTTATAAAGGAAGTTTGAAGTCTGGCAAAATGGCTGAACAGGTAAAGGTAATTGCTCACAAGTCTGATGACCTGGGACCTACATGATATAAGGAGAACTGAGTCTCACAGGCTGTCCTCTAACACATACGTGCACACACGCTAAATAAATGAATGTTAAATGACATTTGGGGAGTATTAATCCTTGGGGAGATGCTTGAATCACGACCACACAGTGCCAGTGCAGCAGCATCCACTGGTCCCTACTCTACTCCTCAGATTATTCAGCTATCATCTGCTGGTTGACCTCATGTTTTGGGGCCTAAAACCCAAGTGCTGCCACCACTCGGCCCTGCCCCACCTCCAGCATTCCCACTAGCCTATTCTCACCAACGTGGAAGGTATCTACCTATTCAATGCCATATGACAAGCTAAGGTTTTGTCTAATTTCTAATTAGTTACTAGCTTTTATAATTTAAAATGTTTAGCTAAACCAACACTGGGGCTCTAAGTGATTAATTCATTTCTCAGGCTTTCCTAGAGAAATGTCATACCCTATCCCTCAAGGGGATACCCTATCCACCAAGGGAAGCTTTGAAGAAAAAGTTTCAGCCCCTTACTCTGGACAATGGGCATAGACTTAGGATTTAGCTGCAAGAAAGCACACCCAATTTACCACATCAGCAGTAATATGCCTTCAATCCTCAAGGGGCTATCCTACTGACATACTGGCTGACGGGTGGAGATGGGCTTCAAGGGGTACAGACAAGGGAGGCACTGCAACCAGACACCTAACGGAAGTACTTACTCTTTTTGTAGAGAATCTTCACCCTCTCCCTCTTACTGGCAATGTTCCCTAAAGCCACCTGCACCTTGACCAGACCATCAGCCACCTGAAAGGAAGCAGAGGGTTAATTCCAAGGTATACCACTCGGCTTAAGACTTAGAAGAGCTTGGATGTGGTGCACGCCTTTAATCCCAGTACTCTGGAGGCAGATGCAGGGAGATCTCTGTGTGATTTTGAGGCCATCCTGGTTTACATGACAAGTTCCAGGACAGCTAAGGCTATTTAATAAAGACTGTGTCTAAAAAAGGAAGGAAGGAAGGAAAGAAGGAAGAAAAGAGAGAGAGAAAAAGAAAGACCTGGAAGAAGAATCCTTATGTCTCTCAAGACTTTCAAGTCTTTGAAGGTCTCCCTTCTCTTACAACAGAAACAGTCTCAACTTTAGGTACCCATTAATGTGAGAGGGAATGAATCATGTTCTCCTTTGCAGGACGGGGGTGTAAGTATTTGTCTGCTTACGGAGGTAATGAACTGATTTAGGCTTTAATGGGGCACCCTTACATTCTATATATTTCCTGTTTCCTAACCCCTATATTTGGGCATGAAATACGCAAATACCTTCACCCAGATCTTTCTTAGCTCAAGGCTGGAGAACAGATTGGCTACCTACCTCTAGCCCCACACCCTCCATATCAAGTCTAGTATGGGAGACGAAACACTCTCTAGGATCCCAAAGACAGTACAATCCCTATCATAGAAAATCAGTTTACAGGCAGAGGCAGAATATAGTTAAGAGTTAAGGGTTTGAGCTTGAGCCGTCTGTGGGATATCCCGGTGGAAGAGACCAGCAGGCAAAGATCAGTCGGGATCAGAAAGTCTGGAACAGAGATACACACTGGAGACATAGGACTTGAAATGAGTACCTGAAATCATGGCAGTGAATGAGCCTGCCTAGGACTTAGTACAATATTCCAACAGTCAAGAGTCAGCTAGAGGGGGAGGCTGAGGAAATGAATGCCTTCACTCAGGGCTTTTGTAAAAGGTGAATGCTAATGTTTAAGGAACTAATATGCGAGGGAAGGCACACAAATAGATGCCAAAGGGGGAAGAGTGTTTTGAAAAGTTGGTTGGTAAATTGGAACAGAATGTGCTGGTGACACTTTTACAAAAAGTACACACACACATCATTACCTTTGACGTCCTTAGTTCCAGAACATTCTTAACACTACCGGAAGTGCTCCGGTAAATGGTTTTCATTTCGTATAAAGGGATTTTAGGGCACCTAAAGTGTCTTTCAAAATTCAGACACGATGTTCACCCACATCTGAACACACCTAGGGCTCAATTACTAACCTTCCTTATCTGGGCCTGCTCAGACCTCTCCGTTCACCCCCTGGATCCTTTATCCACCTGTGTTCTGCCTCCTCTAGGGCTCCTTTCCCCGCTCAATTCATTTAGCAATTAATTTTGCAGGGCTCTAGAACGACACTCCGCTGCGGGCTTCAGCTCTTACTGAAACTTCCATTAATCTGTTTTTAAATGCGTCTGGTCTCCTTAGTACACCTGTGAGCGCAAGGGTGGAGTTTTCGTGAAAGTTGTCACCGAATCCGTCTCAAAAAGGCTTAAGTATCCATCTTCCATCCCAATCCCCTTGGGAACGGACCTCGAGGGTCCAATTTGTACCAGGAAGTTCTAGATCTTTGTTATTTCAAAGCCTGGGCTGGGGACGACATGACAGAAGTGGTAGCATCAGGCCCTAGGGCGGGCCAGTGGACCGCTCCTGTTCTGCCCTGGCCCAGAAACGGGTCAATAGACCGAATCTCTCACCTTCCTAGAACCTCGAGTCCCGCTTGGCCCGTACACCCAGCGCTCCAGCTCCTCCACTCGGGACTGTAGCCGCTGCACATCGGTCAAACCCGCCATCATTTCTGCAGCCGGGCCACAGCAGCCCGGGTCAGCCTGAGGGTGGGACATCCGCCCAAATAAGAAGACTGGCCAATCCGAGAGCACCGTCGCGCCCTATAGGAAGTGACGTCACTATTTAGTCTTTGGATGTCGGAAGTAACCTATGTCAAAGCAATCTGGTTACCTAGGTAACGTCCGGAGGCCCTAGCCCTATACTGTTTTCCAGGACCCTGATTGTCAAGACTTTTAGGGTTCTAAGTCCAGGGTACAAAGAGATTTTCTTTCTCACCCATTCCCTGAAGGTGAGCGTATAAATAGATCTATTATTCCAAGATTGGTTCATACCCATAGATCAGTAGGCAGCTTCCTGAGGCGACACCATAAATTTTTGAAATCTTTTAAAGGTCAAGTGAATTGCACCTAAGCCTCTTATTGTCAGGATTCACTTCCAAATCTGTCTGATTTGAGACAGCGCTCTGTGTGGTGGTGCTAGGAGATAAAGGAGAGACAGGAGGATGACTAAGTTTGAGGCCAGCCTGCTCTACATAGTGAATTCAAGACCAGTCAGGGAACACAGAGAAAGCTTGCTTCCCTCTAAAAAAATGGTCTTCTATTTTCACAGAGCTTTTACTCTTCTGTCTTCCACTTGGACAGCTAGCTCAGTGTAGTCTGTGTATCGCCCACCTCCCAGACCCGAGAAGAGAAGGCACGAGAGACACAGGAAGTACAACTTTATTTTCCAGATGCAACCCAAGGGACATCTTCACATTCAAATCCAATCCTTCATCTGCTTCCTGAAAAGGAGCAGAGTTGACTCAAAGAAGTGGGGTACCAAAGGTGACATCGACATAGGGGTCACATGAGGGGATGATAGGGGTTATTGGGGGGGAAACTCTTTGGTAAATGCTGCTGGGATTAGCTAGGGAGGCAGTGTCCTCCTCTTACAGTGAGGTAGATGGAACTTAATAATAAACCCCTTTGGTGTGGAAGTGGCATGCTGACATCTCCCGGGGCTGGATCCCAGAGTAGAATCAAGGTAGGAGGGTGCCTTCTTCCCCCTAATCAATGATATTGGGACTCTTAGTTCTTGGTAGCTGCTTTCATGGCAAGGTGCTGGAAGGGGGCCCTGTAGAGGGTGGAGGTGGAGGATTGGTTGGACCTAAGGAAGCTGGCACAGGCTGGCGTCGAGCAAAGAGGATACCTGATAAAGGGTTGAAAAGATGTAAAATTCCAAAATAAATAAGAGAATGTAGGAACTCCATAAACCACTGATGACAAGGCTCCTCTGGTCATGGAGAAGCTCCTATGCCAATGTGGATAGCTTGAAGTGGGTGTACAATAAATACACTCATAGAACCATGACAAAGCAGACAGCCCATGGCAAACGTGCTGCACAGATCATGCTGGGACCCCATGCCATGTAGACATTCTCTTGAACTCATTTTAATGTAACAGTACTCTAACCCCCCATGCATATTCAGATACCCCTGAACCTCATGCTAGTAGAGAAAATCTAAAATCCCCATGCCAATGTAAACCCCAACTTCATGCCAATATAGACAGCCTATAATTCCCATACCAGTGTAGACCACCCCATTGATCTCTAGCGCCATGTTGATACTGCTGATGCCACTGCCTGCCAGATTGAGGGGCCCATCCAACCGTTCTTCTGTCCAGAAGAAGGCAGGGAAGTCACATTTGGGGGAATCAGATTTCACACTTAGACTCCTTATTCCTGCACTTGAACCCCATACCATAATTACGTGTTTGTCTACAAAGGGATCTGTCTGTACCACCTCCAACATCCATCGGGTGAAGAGTCTAGCTTCCCTCAGCACACTAGCCCAAAGCCCTTCACTAACAAGCTCTTCCTTACCCCTTAGGGGAGCCTTGCCACGGGGTAGGAAACTGGGGGGTGCTCCCAATCGAGGTGGGTCCGTGGGACCCATCAGCACAGCCTTCTTTTCTGGAGGCTCTTCCGGTGCCATCTTCTCCCGTGCAGCCTCCAAGGCCAAACCCACAGGTAGTGCCAGACGAGGGGGTGGTATTCCACTCTCCTCTGGAAAAACGAAAAACAAAACAAAAATCAAAACAAACAAAACAAACAAACAAAGAAACAAAAACCAGGCCACTTTGGTCCAATCAGCCCGTGTTTGATTTGATTTTTCCCAGACCTGGGACCAATAGAGGTCGTACAGGCTGATAAACCAGGTTCAGTCTCTCCTCCCATCCATCTGGCCTAGAGACTGAAGATGTGGAGGAAAAAGAGTCAGCATATAGGTCTGGGCTGGTTTAGATCAGAGAATGTGTAAGCTTTCTTTGCTCTTTGTTGTTAAATAAATCACAGAAGTTGCCAACTACATCCAAATGGGACCCCTCTATGGACAGCTGTGCAATAAAGCTGCTGTGGGTGAAAGGCCTTTTCCTGGATTTGAGACTCCGCAGGCTTCTTGACCTCAAGGTTCAGGATCACTAACTTAGGGTTCCAAAACCCCTGAGCCCTATCAAATCTTGCTGCTCTCATATCGCAATGCCTCCCACATCTGAGTCCCCACATTTTGAAATTCCCTATGCACAGATCTCAGAGACGCCAAGCCCCAAACTCCGCCCGCCCCCCCCCCCACCGCACCTTTCTTTACTGGGCTCGGGCTCAGTTGAGCGCAAGCGTGCGCTGGTAGGCCAGAAGCAGAACCCTGAGTGGGACCTGGGCAGTTCGGGGTTGCGGTCGGGGCGGGGCCATGACTCGAGGAGGGACCAGGAGCGCCCCGAGGTGTGGGCCCTGCTAAATTGAAGAGCGGGACCGCGGTGTAAGCCTGGCGACGGCCCTCACGCCGGTTGCTGTCTATGGCAGCCTGGAGCTCCCCTGGGGAACTGAGTGCCCGCGTCTCGCACTCGTATGGGTACAAATACTTCATGTACCTAGGAGCGGACGGAGGGGCGGTGGGAGGTTGGACCCAGAGGATCGTCCTACCCCCGCCCCTCCCTTCACTCCCGCGCCCCACCCAGCCCCTCTTGTCCTTTGCTGTCCTCACTGGGTACGTAGAGTGAAGGCGGCAGAGGTGATGGTGGTGGGCAAACTGAGGCCACGTGTGACTTCTCGCCACACTTTTCGGTTGATGACTTCCACCAGACCTCCCTTGGCTGTCACTAAGCGAAACAACGCATACAGATCCAGCACCTGTTTGGCCATGATGGGTACCCGGTTCACTGGAGTCCCTGGTGTGAAGTGGGTAGAAAGTCAGAACAATAAGATTAGGCTTCTGAGGACATCTTAGTTATGTCCTTGGATAAGGACGGGTCTCATGAGAGGACTGCGGAGGAAGGGTAGGATCACAGGCTAAGAAAACCCCCTCCCCTCCTCCATAGCAGGAAGGACAGGAGACTAAGACAAGAAATCAGCTTGGTTTTCCTGTAAAGGGCCAGAAGGTAAATATTTAGATTTTTTTGGCCAAAGGGTACCTGTTACAAATACCCAGCTCTGCGACTGTATCCGAGAACAGTCTTAGATGATATCTAAGAGGATGCGCATGGCTATTCGCCAATGAAACTTTATTCTCAGGCGCTGAGATTAGAATCTCACAGCCTGGAAATGTTATGCCTGTTTTAACTCTGTTTTCCAGATATGTACAAAGGAAAAGCCATTCTAATCTACCAGACAGCCAGATTCGCCTGAAAGCTTTAGTTTGCAGGGCTGACTGTAGGAAGGACTTCCATATGTACTGAAAAGCTATGCTTCCCAAATCTTGAACCTCCAAAGGCTGCAGGAAGCCAAGGGACAGCAGGTGCAGAAGAATCAGATCCTGCCTGGGCCAGCCAACTCCTCAGCCTAGCCACCCCCGCCAGCCAGTCCTGACAAAGGGGCCTGTCGGAGCTGAGCGATGGGCCCCAGTTAATTCCTTACCGATCCCAGCCCCTTCCACCAGCGCCTTTGGACCCGAACAATTAGCTGCGGCCTGATTAATGGGGGGAAATTATCGGCCCCGGGAGACCTCCTCCCCCTGCAGCTGAGCAGAGGGAGGCAGAGCTCGGGATGTGGGCTGTACTGTCAGACCACGCCACCCCATTACCAACAGAGAGAAGGTCCCAGGAAGGTGCAGAGAAGGAACACTGGGATTACCATGATTAGATCTCCTTGGGGTGCAAGAAAACCTGGGATCCTCACCCAAGGCTCTTGGGAAGGAAGGGACCAGAAAACGCTGCTGAACATTGTGCTGGGAACTGGGGAGACTTGGGCCAGAAGCTGTCCTGGGAGGGGGGCAGTGCAGCCAGTTAATTAGCAGCTTATCAGGCTGCGCTCTGAGTGAGTTAATTAGCTTTGTAGAGAGAGATAATGAGTCAGTGTTCAGACCCATGAATCTGGGGAGAAGCGGAAGTGATGGACTGCTGCCCGCCCTCGTCCCCCCTGGACCCCTTCTGTATGCTCTCAACACTGAGATTTTCTGGAGAGAAATCCCTTCTCCGCTACCCAATTCACATGGCCCCAGCCCATCCTTTAGGAAAGCCTTCTTCAGTCTAACTCTATTCCTTCCTATTGCAGGACAGGTAGGAAGTGCCCTGGGCTAAAGCAAAAGGAAGTGGAGAGGAAACGAGGCTGGAAGAAGGGTGCACTGTATACATCCAAGGCATTCCTGGGACCCTCCTATCTCAAACCAGTCCTGACCAGTCTCCCTCCCACCTACCTAATTGATCTCACACTCATTAACCTGCCTGTGGGCCCACCACTAATTAATCCCTGGTGGAGAAGGGGGACAGGGTCAGAGGTTAAAGATGCTATTGAGGGCCCAAAGGAGAGGTGCCACCAACCTCAGAACTCTGCAGGGAGGACCTCACCTGGGGACTACATCCCGAGGTCTTCCTTCCTCAGAACCTAGTCAGTAGAAGAAATGTCTAGGTATTTTCCCCACATTGCTTTGCTTACCCCTCTTCTGCATGAAGGTAAACAGGTCATCCAGAAATTCCTTCCTCTTGGGGTCCGCGTCGAGTTCATACAGCTGGGGAAGGACCAAGGTTATTCTCCAGCTCCACTGCCCCCCTTACCCCTGGCGCCCCAATTTGGGTAGTACTCTGGGCAAGAGTATTTGGTGAAAGCGTGAATGGAGTTTGAATGTGAATTCTCTGGCACCGGGCCCACCCCCGGGGTAAGGCAGGGTGCCTTTATCTACTACGTCTAGAGACCTATCCTAGCTAGAGACGCCTCTAGGCAGTTTAAACCTTGCGTGTGGCAGACATAGGGAGAGAAGACGCAGGAAGGTGCTTCCATGGCTCAGCCTGCTCTTCAGGACAGTCTTGACTATCCTGAGAACGGACATTCAGAGCCGCAGGAGAAAAGGCAGGCTGGGGCTGTGCCGCACACTGAAACTGATGAATACTTATTCATTCCCCTTAATCTGTATAAGGGCTTCATGCAATTCATATCCTTGTGGGCCAGGACATGAACTAGGGTGAGTTCAGGCAGGCAGGATGGTGAGGAACTCCTTATAGGAGCCATCTTGTCTGATCTCCTTCCAGGGGTGGTTACAGTGTCTACTATAGACGCTATCACACAGGCACTGGCCACACAACACAGAATCTGAGATATCAGAACACTAGGAATCTTTTGGTCACCCCCACCTCCAACATTGCCTCCCAAGTCTAAAACGAACAGTTCCAGAATAATGGAGTCATTGACCCAGAGTAACAGATTCTCAGCCTCAGCTTGCTTTGAGTCACACATATAAGTAACGCTCCATCCCTCAACAAGAACCTTGTCAAATCCTCCCATGAGTATCAAACCCCCAGAGACCCAGCTTTGGAGCTACACACACATGGCTCAGAGTACCTGGTCTCACCTGGGTACCTACAATGATACCCACACTTTGTCACTCGTAAGTCCAGAGCAGTGCCCTGGAGAAACAGTCACTAGAGCTGAATCTCCAGAGTGACAAGGCCCTGAATGACATTCATGGTCTTACACCAATGCTACAGAACACTAGCTACATATTAGCACTTCTAGAAAACACCCCAAACCAACACCCTATGAATAATACCACTAGAATGCCGCAGCTGGAGATCACAGCCCCGAGTAACACCTTGGTGACAGCCTGGTCTACTGTCCCTAGTCGGGAAGGGTTTGGATCAAGGTCATGTACATAAAGATTCAGTTTGCATGGAGAAGTGGTGGGCCCTTAGGTACACTGCCGCTGAAGTAGCCAGCACAAGGTGAGAACTGACACTGGTGAAATTTAGGCCAGGTGAAAACACTGGATGGGAGAGCACTGTGGCAGGAAAGGGGATGCATGTACCAGCCTGCAAAAGAAGCAGCAACCTCTATCCCCCCAAAGGCAGTAGCCAGCCTGAGACACTCCCTTTGGTACATGTGACTTGATACGTGAGAGGGTAGATGGGGTGGTGTTGCTATGGGTTCCTTGGATTCCAGACCCCCTTCTCTCAAAGACCCTTACGCCTCTTCAAGCTCACCAATGGCCTCCTATGGTGGCCAATGGTCAGTTCCTATGTTTCAAGGATCTCAGTTACCTCTTAATGAATTCCTGTGTACTTTCTACATATCTGGGTGTCTCTGCTGACTCATCACTATCCATCTTTCAGCCTTCCTATCTCTCTCTAGGTCTCTGTTTTTACATCCCGCAGAGGGTGGTAGGGATATGTAGACAATTTTTGCCAGAGGGAGGTAGGAGGGACAGCCTGGCAGTGGTGGAGAGAGGGTTCCTACCTGCTTGAACTGTTCCTCGTAGGTCCACTCATGTGGTTGGATTCCAGGGGACTGGCTGGAAGGTGAGTTGGGACATCGGGCTCCTGGATGGCTCTGCTCAGCCGTCTCCTCTTCTGCTAAAGGTGTCTCTCCCTCCTCATCTCCAGCATCCTCCTCTTCTTCAGCCCCAACCACTCCTAAAGCCCCCTCAGGAGCCTGTAGGGTCCGGGCGCCAAGCAGAGGAGGCTGTGGGAGCGGTAGGCGTGGAGGGGCCAAGGGCCCCACCCCTTGGGCCAGCCGTGCTGCCTGCTGCCTCTGCAGGGCCTCCATTACAGCTTCCAGGCGCAGTCCCCCTGCTGGGGGGCCTCCTGGTACCAGGCGGGGGCCCGAGGAAAGGGCCGTCTGTGGGGGGAGGGAATTATGGGTGCAGGGCCTTGCTGCACCCACACCCTACAACACAAGGGGAGATGCTCAAGGACATACATGCTCAGGGACATACATGCTCAGGGACATACATCGAGTTACAAGGGAAGGATCGAGAAAACAGAGACAGAGGGATAGAGGGAGCAAAAGAGACAGAGACTATACATAGCGAGTCAGAAACGGCCAGGGACTGAGGATAGGAAGAGGCCAAGCAAAATGGAAAGAGTGACAGAAACCAAGGAAGAGTGATGCAGGGAGATGTGACACACACGTACACACAGAGACAACGGCAGGGAGATAGACAGAGACTGGAAGAGAGACAGGAGCGGGGACATAGAGACTGAGGAGGACCAGGATGGAGGAGAGGGAGGGAGGGAGGGAGGGAGGGAGAGAGGGAGAGAGAGAGAGAGAGAGAGAGAGAGAGAGAGAGAGTCCTGCAAAGAGACAGTAAAAAGGGTTGAGAGAGACGCTGGAAGATAGACGCAGAAGGAGAGAGAAAAGACTAGAAAGAGACAGAAAATTGAGGGCACTGGTGTAAAAACCGGGTAAAAACATAAAAAGACAAGAATCAAGAATTCAAAAGGTCCGGGGAAGAGGACAGCAGTGTCTGGGTCTGGGACAGGAACAGGACCAGATGGGCATGAGGTGGCGGGTCACTGAGTCTGGATCCCGGGCTCTGGGTGCCCTGCAGCTACACTCACCTGCCTGGCACCGCCCGAAGCTCCGGGTCTCTCCACGGCGGTCCGTTTGCTCAACCGCCTTTTAGGCGGCTCCGGTCTCTGCTGGGTTCCCTGCGCAGGGTCCCCGCTGTGCGCTCTTGCCGCCCTGCGCTCTTCTGACCGCGGTGCGCTCACTGGCGGTCGCTTGGCTGCCTGCGGTCCCGGGGGGCGGGACCCGAGCCCTGCTGGGCGGGCGCGGGCGGGTGGGCGCAGCGGAAGAGGCTGGGGTGGGCTCGGCTCCTCTTAACCCCCCAACAGGTGTCTCCCACCTTCCTTACAACCAGATTCGAGGGAGGGGGCGCCGGAGAACTATGGGGAAATCACGCGTGGGAGAAACAGGAGACCACAGCTAGTAAACTCCGGCCCGTGGCCCCGCCCAGCCTTACAAGTCGCGGCCCCCAAACCCACACTCAGAGTCCACCGTTCACACATCAACACACCTTGTCACAAGTTCGGGCACAATTTTATATATTCTGTTTAAAGGTCACTCGAGGGGTCAAGGGCCTGAACAAGCTGTGGTCACACTGGAATCGCTGTGCAGAATGCTGGGATGAATGTGGAACACCTGGCCAGAACAGAGCTTTGCCTTCATGCCCTGCCCAAGTGCTATCTCCATCTGCACATGTGTGTCAGTTTATGTACAGGTATGCACACGCCAGTGGCGCCAGGTCTCTGCATTTACACACACAGAGGTCTCTGAGTCTCCTGGGTGCACACATCTGGATATGCACACTGTATGAGAGATACAGGCATGCGCACCTCTCTTTTAAAAACCTCATTTGACGTTTGTTCTCTTAAGGATTTCCAAGTATGTGTGAGAGAGTGAAGAGCATAGTGACTCCTGGCTTCTGTTTGTCCATCCATGTTCACATACATTCTCTGTCCATGCTCCCTGACTTCCAAATTTCTATGTCCAGGACTCCTTGAGCCAACTGGGCTTATCCTATACCACCAATGCCCTGATGCTGTTCCTGTTTTAGGAGTCCTGATTAGCAGGCCAGTTTCTCCTCTGAGCAGCCTGACTCTATTCCTCTCAGGTGCCCTATATGTTCCAAGCCTCTCTTTGTGGTCAAGGAAACCTACTCGCCAAAGGCATGAGGACCACCATAAGCTAGGTGAGCAGCAGGTGTCCGTAGGGATGACGTGTGCAAGGTTACACCAAACCCCTTACACCCAGCGGGACACATATGCTTCAGGACAAACATGTCCCTACATGGCAGGAGTCTGGGCATGACCTTTGTCTTCTCCCTCATCCTTCTCTAGTTCATTAGCTCCTCCTAGGCTCAGCTTGCCCTGGGCTAGATCACATGTTCTGGTGCCACCCCTGATCCCCTGCCTTTTCCCTCCACCCAACTCTGAAATCCAGATCCTCCTCCTCCTCCTGCTGCTGCTGCTGCTGCTGGTCCTCGCACCTGTGCTCTGTGGCTATCCCTGGCTGGGCTGGGGTTCACTACTGTCTGCCCTCAGCCTTTCTTCTTCTGTATCAGATCTTGTAGCCAGTCACAACCCCTTCCATCTCCTTCAATCCTTGATGATCCATTCATCTTCAGTACTGAGATGCCCGCATTCCATACTCACAGATGTCTGAGGATGGACACTCTCTTCCTGCAGAGCTCCCCCACCACCACCATGCTAGGATCACAGAGCAGTATGTTAGTGGAATTAATGCATGCACAGAGGCAGACGGTCATGTCCTCGGATGTTGTGGATGCCTGGAGGGTAAAGGGTAGAGATATATGTACAGAACTCTGTGGTCCAGCTTGCTCCTGTTTCTCCCAGCTGCCACTGGCTGTTTGGAGAGAGTGATGTAAGATTCCTCCTGGGAAGTAGGTATACTGACTTGGGAGGCTGCAGTTTTGAGAGGTTCAAAGTGACTTTTTGTGGGTCTTGATGGGAGAGAGCATGGAAATGTGCATCCTCCCTCACCTCCAAATACTGGGAATCAAGCAAAATGAACTCACCTTTGGGATCTGGGCCAGAAGAGTACAGCTAGGAAGCAGTGAAGGAAGGGCTAAGGATGGCTGGAGCCCGGCTTTAAAGGAAGGCTGCCCCTTAATTCTCCATTTGACCTAGACCTTCAGAAATGGACACACACTTACTGAATGCGTTATGGCAGGCATTGTAGGCCACAGGCCCAGATACAACAGTGCCACTGTAACATGATGTTATTCTAGTGGAGGAAATATAAACTGTGTCAGATGCAGGTATTTGTCGTGGAAAAAAAAATGTAATTGGATCTGGGTGGACCTGGTGGCACAAACATGCAGTCCCAGCTACTTGAGAGGCTAAGGCAGGAGGAACACCAAGCTAAAGGCCTGTCTGGGTAACAGAGAGTTCAAGGCCAGCCTGAGCAACTTGGCAAGATCTGTTTGGAGATAAAAGGTAAACAGAAGACTGGAGGTGTAGCTCGGTGGTACTTTGCTAACATACTAAGGGTCTAGGTTAAATCTCAAGTATCAGGAAGGAAAAACATTAGTGCTTGCATTTGGAGACTAGGAAGGGAAGGTGTTACCTATGTGTCGTGTAGGAAATTATCATTCCAGTTTGGAAATGAAACAAGAAGTGATTATTTTCTCATATTTTTGTGAACAGGGATTCAAGAATGGTTTAGCAGGCAAGGAGTTGTAACTCGTTGCTTATGAAGTTATTTTATTTATTTTATGTGTATGGGTGTTTTGCCTACATGCCTGTCTATGTACCACATACATGCCTGATATCTAGGAGGCCAGAGAGGACATCAGATCCTCTGGAACTGGAGTTACAGACAGTTGTGAGCTTCCATGTGGGTGCTGGAAATGGAACCTGGGTCCTCTGGAAGAGTAGCCAGGGCTCTTAACTTTCCAGTCATCTCTCCGGCTACCTTGTGAGGTTCATATTCGTTATCTTCTTGGTTACTGTGACAAATACCTGACAAAAGCTACTCGAGGGAAGGGTTTGTTTGGCTTTCCCTGAAAAGATCCAGTCCATCACGACAGGGAAGTTATGGGGGTGAGTGTGAGGCAGCGGGTCACACCGTGTCCTCAGCGAAGAAGTGGCGATGAGGAGCCAGAGAGATGGCTCAGCTCTGTTAAGAGCACTGGCCATTCTTGCAGAGGGTCTGTGGTGGATTCCCAGCACCCACAGAGCAGCTAGGGAACTAAGAATCACCATGGAAACATACTGTTGGGTGTGCTAATGAGGGCGCCCAGAAAGGTTTAACAGAATATCAGAACATACAAGACCAACCATGAAGGTGACCGTCATTCCGTGTCCTGGGGCTCCAGACTGAATGCAAAAGGAAAAATAAGCTGAATAAGCATTTCTACTGCTGATGTTTCTTTTTAAATTTATTTTTACTTTATATGTGTGAATATTTATGTATGTTGTGATTGTTTGAATATGCTTGACCCAAGGGGAGTGGCACTACTAGGAGCTGTGGCCTTATTGGAAGAGGTGTAGCCTTGTTAGAGGAAGTGTGTCACTGTGGAGGCGGGGCTTTGAAGTCTGATATGTAATGCTTAAGTCTGGCCAGTGTGATCTAGAGCCTCCTCAAGGCTGCCTGTGGAAGACAGTCTCCTCCTGCTACTTTCAGATCAAGATGCAGAGCTCCTGGCTTCTCAAGCACCAAGTCTGCCTGCACGCTCTCGTGATGATAATGAGCTAAACCTCTGAAACTGTGAGCCAACTCCCATTAAGTGTTTTCCTTTATAAGACTTGCCTTAGGGGACTGGAGAGATGGCTCAGTGGTGAAGGGCTCTGACTGCTCTTACAGAGGTCCTGAGTTCAATTCCCAGCAATCACATGGTGGCTCACAACCATCTGTAATGGGATTTGATGCACCTCTCTTATGTGTCTGAAGACAGCTACAGTGTACTCATACACATAAAATAAATTTAAAAATCTTAAAAGAGAGAGAGAGAGAGAGAGAGAGAGAGAGAGAGTTGCCTTGGTCATGGTGTCTTTTCACAGTGATGAAGCACAAACTGCATGCACTGCATTCTTGCCTGATACCCTCAGAGTCCAGAAGAGGGCATCAGCTTCCTTTGGAGCTGAACTAAACTACCTGGTGTGGGTGCTGAGAACAGCTCATGTCCTCTTCAAGAGCAGAAAGCATTCTTAAGCATGAAGCCAGTTCTCCAGCCCTTAGGCTTTAGCTCTTGAAGGAGGAAGTGTCAAGAATTATTCTCAGAGGGTGAGAAGCTAGGGAGAAGAGAACACTGCAGAAGCATGAGGACCCGAGTTCAATCCCCAGAACCCAAATGTGTTGGTAACCCAGGAGTGCTGGTATGTGCCTGTAATCCCAGCCTAGTGGGCAGGGGCTGTGGGTGGGGGCAGGCAGGAGGATCTCTGGATGAATTGATGAGCTCCAGGTTCAGTGAGAGGCTTCGCCTCAAAAGATAGAGACTGACTGAAAAGCTACCCAAAGTAGACCTCTGACCTAAGTACACACACACACAGAGGCAGACACTCAGATGTACACCCATACTTATAAACATATACCTCTCTCCCATCATGCAGACTTTTGGAGGTGTACCTCAGTGGTACAGAATTTGCCTAGCATACTTGAGCTCAACCTTCAGCACTGTACACACACGCACACACAAGCACATGCACACACGCACGCACAGGCATGCACATGCACTGAAGTATTTGGAACCCTCCACAGGAAGGGTGTTACATGTTGCCATGTGTTAAAGGAAAGACTCTCTGGGAGAACTTGAGGGAAGGAAAGTTATATGGCCATCTAAGTAAGAGTTTTGACATTAGAATAGACACTGCAGATATCCTGAGGTGGAAGGGTGTTTGATGTATTGAAAGAAAATACCCCAGAGGCCATGGGGTAGCTGAGGGTGAGCAATTGGATGTTTGGTCACAGGTCACTTGGGCCTTGGAGAAGATTTGTGGAAGGAAAGAACCCAATGATGTGGAAAGCCAGTGAAAACATTTGAGAATGAATGTCTGCTTCTGGGTTTTGTGGGCACCTCCACTAAAGAGGCAAGCATGACTGATGGATGATGGTACCCTGAACCAGACTGTAACAATGACAGAGGCAAGAGATGCTTAGAATCTAGACAGTTTTATTGCTTTTTCAAGGCAGGGTTTTTCTACATATCACACCACAGCTCAGAATTCACTGTGTAGGCCATGCAAGACCTGAACCCACAAGTCTGCTGGGATTACAGGCTTCTGCATGATCACCATGTGCCACCATGCCCAGTGAAATCTGCATACATTTTCACGATAAAACTGAGGGCTTGTGGATGGATTGAATGTGAGATCATTAGGTGTATAAGAATCTCAAAGTGTAGTTCAAGACGGTAAAGACTGCGTGGTGGTGGGGTCATGTAGCTTGGGAAATAGATCAGTTTGCTTGAGACATTTTAAATTTGAGTCACCTATTAAACAACCAGGCAGAGATTTGAGGAGTAAGATATCCAAAGCTAAATCCTGGGGAAGAGATTTAGGCTAACTCACATATAGGAGTCAAGATATGTAGATGAAGCTCAGAGAACCTCTCGGAAGAGGGGGAGGAAGGAGTGTAGGAGCAAGAAGGGTCAAGGACACCAGGAGAACATGGCCCACAGAATCAACCAAGCAGGTTCCTAGGGGCTTCCAGAGACTGAAGTGACAATCTCAGAGCCTGTGTGGGTCTGTGCGGGGTCCTCTGCATGTAAATTATGATTGTGCAGCTTAGTGTTCTAGTGCAATTCTTGCAGGAGGTAGGCGCTCTCTGACTCTCCTGCCTGCTCTTGGGACTCTTTTCATCCTACTGGGTACCCTTGTCCAGACTAGATATGAGGGCTTGTGTCTGGTCTTATTGTATCTTGTTATACTGTGTTTGGTTGGTGTCTCTCTGCTCTTTTCTGAAGGGAAACAGAGGAGGGGTAGATCTGGGGGAGAGGGGATGGAGGGAGGGCTTTTGGGAGGAATGGAGAGAGGGGATCTGCTGTCCGGATGTATTTTTTGTATAAGAGAAAAACAAACAAACAAAAGGGAAAAAAAGATATGTAGCTGGACGGTGATGGGGTAAGCCTTTAATCCCAGCACTCTGGAGGCAGAGGCAGTGGCAGTCAGATCTGTGGCTTTGAGGCTAGCCTGGTCTACAGAGTGAATTCCAGGACAGCCAGGGCTACAGAGAAATCCTGTCTCATCAAACAAACAAACAGAACAACAACAAAAACCAACCAAACAAAAAGAAATGTAGATACTGCTTATTTTGAGTGTATGTTGTACACATCTATGCTACAGTCAGTGGAGGACCAGGGTCCTGCTCCAACATTTTCTGCCATATGTCCTTGAGACAGAGTGCCTCACTGACCCCGAAAGTCGGCTATGGACTGCAAACCCCAGCAACCCCCATCTACACCCTGCAAATCACTGGGGTTATTGGCACATAGGTGGTATTGCTCAGCTTTTTACATGGGTTCTGGGATCTGAATTCTGGGTCTCATGTTTGGTAGCATGTACTTTTACCTATTGACCCATCATCCTTTCATCCCTGTAGACAGCATCTAAAGTTACAAAGACATAAGGAGCTGTGAGTAAAGAAATAAAAGAAATAAAGAGGGAAATTGTTAATAAAGAAAAAGGAAATTGAGGGCTAGAGGGATCGCTTAGTGGTTAAGAGCACTGACTGCTCTTCCAGAGGTCCTGAGTCCAATTCCCAACAACCACATGGTGGCTCACAACCATCTGTAATGGGATCCAATGCCCTCTTCTGGTGTGTCTGAAGACAGCTACAGTGTACTCATATATAAGTAAAAGAAAGAAAAAAGAAAAAAAAAGAATCCCTGAAGCCCAAATTTGTTTTAGGAAATATTATCTGTATCAAAACAAAGTTGAGGGCCATGGAACTAGGTCAGTTGTTAAACACATGCTTAGAGTGTAAAAGACTTCAGATTTGAGCCCCAGTACCAACGATGAAAGTTAAAAACTATGGAATGTCCACTGGCTTTAACAGAAGAGATGGGGGCAGGGAGGATAGTCCTTTATAAGGTGGGTGATGGGACATTTGGGCATCCCTGATACACACATGTTCCTAGAGTAGAGGTAGAGCTGGGTGCCATGGAGAAGTCATCTATAAAGATCAAGAGACTTCAGCTAGAGCTTGTCACAGCCAACATGGTGGTACTGAGGGCTCGGGAAAGGCATCAAGATGGCCAGTTTGCCTGGGTTCCAAATTGTTGATGCTTTTTGTTGTTTGAGACAGAGTCTCATCCTGTAGCCCTGGCTGGTCTACACTTACTATGTACACCTGGCTGGCGTGGAACTTGCACAGATCCTTTTGCCTCTACTTCAGAAATGCCGAGATTATAGGCACGAGCCACTATGCCTGGCAAGACCTTTGATGTCATTGTCAGATAAGGTTATGCATTTAGTCTTTTGTATTTGTGTTCCTTAGAATGTTTAACTATATAATCATATTTTTTTCCAATATTAGTTTAACAGCTCCAAGAAATAGGAGTGGTCTGGACCTTATTCAACCTAAGTAGAACTAAGATGAAGGTGGTGTAACTTGGTGACTAGGGGGCAAAAAAGCTATGAGCAAGGTCCTTAGGAATTAGTGTACTTTCGACTCTATCTGCCTTGTGCACCATGCTTGGTCCTGCCCCAGGCAGGAACTCCCCCAAAAAGTGCTGGGTCAAAGGCAAACCAGAGCAGAGGAACTCTTGTTCCAGTGAGTGGTGTATTCTATACTCTGTGAGCCCATAAGAAAAGCTAGCTGAGACTGTTTCAACTCAAATGTGGGAGCACAGCGCCACCCCATGGTTGTGTGCAGTTAAATTCTCAGGACCACCCTTAGGGTAGAGCTAGCAAAGGAGACACACAGGTCTCAATTTCTCATATTCAAAAACTTATCTCTATAGATGCAATCCAGCCAGCCAGAGACTCAGACACCTTCTAGGGTGTGGTTAGCACAGCACTTGCCCAGATTGCACAGAGCTCCGGCCTTAATTCTCAGCCCTAGGAAGTGGAGGCAGGAGGATCTCAAGGTGAATTTCAGCATTACATAGAAAATTCTAGGTCAGCCTTACACTGGGAAAAAATCTGGATGTGGTGGGGCTCACCTCGAGACCCAATACTCAGAAGGCAGTAGCAGGCAGATCTGAGTCTAGCCAAGGTTTTACCACCACCACCCCTAGAAGGCTGACTCCAAAGTAATTGTTAAACACACTCCCTTCTATCTAAAACTAGTCTTACAAACTGGATTGTACAGGCCTTGAAGTGCTCCCCAGGAGTCAGCACTTCCCTGCTGTTTAGACACACAAGGAAATGGAACTCTTTAATATGTTTTTATTAACAGAGAGAGACAGGAAGACAGAGATTGCAACAGAAATGTCTGGAAACTGACAGGGTGTGCACGCACACACTAAAGGCTCCTTTTGGAATGGGGTGGCTCCTTGGACCCAGGCTTACTTCCCCAGGTCCTCTCCTTGGGAACTGGCCCTGGGGGATAAGCCAGCTTTCCCATTATAACCCCAACAAAGGTCTCCGTGATGGAGGACCTTCCTTCCCTTTAGCATCCTCTACATTCCTCTGCTTTCCCAGCTGGTTGCTGGGGGCACGGAGGACAAGCCACAGGGGCGCTTGCATAGCAGGGGAGTGGAATGGAGATAAGGCATATGGTGAGGAAAGGGATGAAGGGAAGGGCATCATAGCTGTAGGTGGAGGGGACCTCCGAAGGGCAGCTCCTCTTTTCCTTCACCAGAGATTACTACTGGAATGAGGCATCAGAGTGAGGCAGAGTATGTAAATTCTGCCTCAATCTATTCCCAGAGCCCTGAATGCCAGCAGGAAGCTCTAGAAAAGCCTGAGTCAGTGAGTCAAGCTCGTGGTATGTGTTCGAACATGACTGGCCCCCCTGGAGTATATGTAGGGGACCCTCCTGGATGGATGTGAGTGCATGATCTTATAGTACATACAAGTCTAGCATCTGTGTCTCATTTGCTCCCCAAGAGCCATGTCTGGATGTATAAGTTATGTATGTCCTTCCTCAGACAGGAGGAACTTAATATCTGCATGGTATACGCTGCTGTCAGTGAACATGAGTTCCAGCAAGTAGAGAAATGGATGTGGTCCTGCCTGCTCCTGTCCATCCACAGGTCTTCCTTCAGGCCTGGCTGGTCAGGAGTCCTGGCCAAAGAGGTAGGTGGTGAGCTCAAGCCGGAGGCCCCGGGCATAGGCGCGAAGGGTGTAGAAGAGGGTGAGGAAGTCCTGGGTGCTGAAGACAGTGTCGCTGAGTGCAAACGCCAGGGTAGACGGGATAACGCCGCGGCCATATTCCACCATCCACGTGTTCGGTCCCCACTCCACAGCCGTCGCTTCTCCAGGTCCATGCACAACTGTCTCTCCTGGGGGACACACAGGATAAGCAGCCTCATGAGGAGCCCAGCTCTGCCCTGGCTTTCCACACTGCATTTTCTAGGTCTATGGGCTCTCTATGTAGGAGGGGAATGAAAAGACAGTTTCAAGAACAGAAAAGGTTCTACCCCACTGGCCTAGCTGTTTGATCAGAGGACAAAGACCAAAATGCCTAAATATTTTATGGCATTACCTGGCCCCTGGAAGGCTACCCATCCCAGCTATAGGCTAATGTATAGAATTCATGGCATCTGCATTTCCAAGCCTCAATCCTATCTAGTGGATATTTTGTGTGGTTACAAGGCTTGCTAGGCTGAAAAATGAGCCTGTTCAATCACAGAGCTTGTTGCTTAACCTTACACCAGCAAGTCTAAACTTTTTCCTTTTAAATGGATCCAAAGGTCCGTTAAAAAACAAAAACAACATTAGGAGCTCCCTAGATAGATGGCTCAGTTGTTAAAAGCCCTGGCTTCTACTCCAGAGGACCCAGGTTCATTTCCCAGCACCCACATGACAGGTTCACAACAGTCTCAGAGATCAGATGCCCTCTTCTGGCCTTTAAGGTACCACGTACTGAAGTGGTTGATGTGTGTAAGCAAAACATCCCAGACGCATAAAAACAAATAAAAAATCGAAAACGACAACAAAAATATAGAAATACAAAATACAAAAATACAACCCCCCCGCCCCAACTGCCTCACTAGTTTAAAAACGATGGGAAACAAACGTCTGTCCTAACTTTTGGGTATGACTGTCTCCCAAACAATTGCTGGAATAACGGCTGGGTTAAACAAGCTGATAAAAAATCAGCTCTCTATGACTGGAAACTGCCATGTTCTGTTTCCCTTAACAGTCGAAAGCATCAGAGTTCCTCAGCTCGACACTAACCAAACACCTGTGGCACCAAGGAAAGAAGGAAGGAAATCACCAGCAGGTCTTCTAAACACGCCCTATCCACATCTTATGCCCTTCCCTAGCTAGAGGGCGCACCGTCGGACAGAACTTCCATACTCACCTGGATAGTAGACCTCACTTTTCGTGGTGCCCTCTCTCCACTGGTGGAAAGTGCCAGAGATGATGGTGTCAGAAATCTCAGCCCAGTATCGTCCTGATTGACAGTAAAATAGACGCCGCCCATCAGGGAATCCTTGTCAACACATAGCCCAGCCAAACCTCAGAATGGAGGGCACCGGCCCTCGAACAGTCCCAGCCTCCCAATCCGGCCCACCGCCAACACTGACCCGAATGGCCATGGGAGCCCAGGGCGGTGCCGAAGAGCAGCACATACTCAGACAGCGAGGCGTGCAGAAGACACATGGCGCCCATCCAGCCGCCCGCGTTCACAAACACCCACTGCAGCTCCTCATCCGGCAGCACGTGGCCTGGGTGCAGCCTCCGCAGCTCCACGATCAGCCGAGAGAAGGCCAGTTCATGATCCAGCCCTGATGCAAAAGGGAGAGGCGTGGGTGAGACCAGCCCGGGGTCCGACCTTGGCGAGGAGGGCGCCCTCGGAAAGCGCAGCTCCGCTCGGCTCCGCTCCACGTCGGCCCACCCTGCTCCCCGCCCTCACCGGCTCACCCGCGTACTGTCGAGCAAGCTGCGCTATTTCTTCTCTCTGGAAGACGAAGCTCTGAGGACCCAGCCACAACCAGACGACCTGGATCAGCACCGCGATAATAGTCAGAAGCAGGGTGATCCATGCCCACCGTCGGCCCACGGCCCACGGCATCCCAGCGGACAGCCTGGCACCACCAACGTAAGACCGAACTAGGGCCACAGGCTGTGGGTTCACAGACTCAAAAGCCGCTGCCCACGGTCGCCCCCGCCACCGTGGTACGGCTCGCCCGGGCCAATCGGAACGTCCGGGTCACCTAGCACCGCCCTCTGGATTGAACCATTTTCCAGAGGGGAGAGCATAGGGTTTGGTGGCGCGGTCCTTAGGAGAGGTGAGAGGCGGGGCCTCGCCTTCTGGCTGCCACCCTGAAGTGTTCAGTCCTGGTGTCCCCAAGCGGGGAGACCCAGAATGGACTGGTCCACCTGGGCTAGCACAGAAGCGTGTTGAAAATAGTGCCACTGGGAACCTTAGGGAAGGCCTTTCAGAAGCGGTGATATCTGAAGTGTCCATGAGAGAGGAGAGCTGATGGAAACCCATTCCAGAAGTCAAAGAGCAGAGGAGTGTGAGACAGCATACATACATACGTGTGTATGTATGTATGTATGTATGTATGTATGTATGTATTCGTACATAAATATGTAATATTTTAGACAAGGTTTCACTATGTAGCTGGACTATAGACTAGGGTGGCCTCAAACTCACTGAGATCCTCCTGCCTCTCAAATACTAGGATCAAAGGCATGCACCACCATGTTTGTTTAGCATAGTGTTTTCTCTGAACCTACGGTTCATTCTATGTTCTGAAGCACAAAACTGTGAAAGACCTTGAAACCCAATAGATTTATCCACTGGGGAGCTATGGGATTAGATTTTGCCACAGACTGGTTCTGGGTTACATAGAGAAGGGGAGTAAAATTGGACTAAGACCTAAGGAAGAGAGCCCAAATGTGCCAGCATTTAAGAATATGTGTTGATAGATTTATCTACAACGTAGAATAAATTTTAAAAAGTATCTACTTCATAGTCCATACCTTCATTATGGTTAACAGTAAATGAATTAATTAATGCCTGCCACATGGTTAGGATCATATATGTTAGTTAGAAAAAGACAACATAAAGCATTTATTGCTTGTAATTCTAGAATGTGGGAAGTAAAGGCATAAGGATCAGTAGTTCAAGGTCACCTTAGCTATAGTCAGCATGGGCCACAGGAGACCATGTATGTCTACAGCAACAACAACAACCAAACCTATAAAGGAACTAGAAGAAACTAGCCTTACACACAGAACTGATGGAGTGAGATCCATCAGTCAATGTAAGCAAGGGACGCACAAAACACGGGGCCATCAGTTTTTTTCAGTAGATGTTGTTTATACGGCAGAAACATTTCCTTTTGCTCTTGAGGGATCAAAGTACATTCCATAATCTCTGTAGATGGGGCCATGTACCCGATGATTTTATTCTGGACAATAAAATGGAAACAGAAATGCCATATGACATTTTCAGGTCTAGTTTCTAAAAATATGTGAAATCTTGGGGCTGGAGAGATGCCTCTGTGGTTAAGAGCACTGGCTGCTCTTCTGCTCTCCCGGAGGACCCTGGTTTGATTCCTAGCGTGTATATGGTGGCTCATGACTGTAGCTCAGTTCTGGTTGGTTTGACTCCTAGCCTCTGTGGGAACTGTACATACGTGATACACTGTCATACATGCAGGCAAAATACCAGTACACATATTTGTTTTTAAAAAAGAAATTCTGCCGGGCAGTGGTGGTGCATGCCTTTAATCCTAGCACTTGGGAGGCACAGGCAGGTGGATTTCTAAGTTCGAGGCCAGCCTGGTCTACAGCCAGGACTACACAGAGAAACCCTGTCTTGAAAAGCCAAAATCAAACAAACAAACAAACAAACAAAAAACAAAACCAAAAAGAAAAAGGAAGAAAAGAAAAAGAAAAAGAAATTCTATCCCCTATCTTTTCACCTTTGCCAAATACAAAAGACTTTTTGTTGTGTGACAAAATGTTTCCTGAGGAGACACAACACACATCAGATAGGGATCCCATGGCAGTCTAAAGTACGTGTACCACCAAAATCCAATTTGGTGAACCTATGAGTTTTATTGGGGTTACTTGCTGGACTGTGAGTGAGGGGTTACTTATAAGAGCAGAAATCAGAGTCAAAGACAGCTGCATCACCAAAGCCCAGCCCAGCATGGGTGACAGCTCACAAAAGCTGGGAACCTGGAACATACTGCACTGCCTGAATGCAGCTCTACAGGTTGGAGAGTGTCCTTTCCAAGAGACTCTAGTTTAAACCTCTTCCGAGCAGCTTGGCTAGTCTCTGTTTCTTCCAGACAGCTGGTCTGGTCTCAAGAGACTTTTTTGCAGCTTGGCTTCACTTTGTCTTAAAGGGACTCTTAGCATTTATTGTTTACTATGGCAGGGATGGACCTAGTAAATTTGGTCAGTTTCAGGGATTTCCTGAAGCTGTTTTGAGTTGTTTACCTTCTTGCTCATGGAGTTTCTTTCAGGATAGGATATTTCAATCCTTGGAGGATAATGTAATGGCTCTTCTTGGTTGTCAACCTGACTACATCTGAAACTAACTAAAACCCACATGACTTGGCACACCTGTGAGAGATTATTTTTTTCTTAATTAAATCATTTGATGTGGGAAGACCTACTTCCAAGCCAGATCTTTGAGATAGGAAGATACATTGTTAATTTGGACCAGACTTTCTGCTGGTAGCCTATATAAGGGACATGGAAATAGGAAGCTTGCCTTCTCTTTGCTGGCTTGCCTTTGCTCTTGATGGAAAGTCCATTCCTTCACTGGCATTAGAACCTACTTCTTGGGGATTCCAGCATCTACTGAAGATGAGCTGAGATATTCAGCCACATGGACTGAATAACTACTGAATTCTTGGACCTTCCATTGGTAGGCAGCCATTGTTGGACTAGCTGGACCACAGCCTGTAAGCCATTCTAATAAGTCCTTGCTCTGTTGCCTTTCATTTGCCCATGTTGCAATACATTGTACAGCAGAGAGCAGAGGCCAGGGAGATGGACTGTTGTGTCTTTGTTTGTTTTGAGTAATCTAGTGGTGGATGAAAAGTTGAGGAAACATGTTTTGAAACAGTGGCTGGCTTCTGCGTTATCCCTAAGTTGACAATTTTCTAAAACCACTGAGACCCCTCTAGTTCAATCCTATTTCATATTCCATCATAAATAAAGTTTCTCATAAATAAATAATCCCATCCTCTCAGCCTCAACCACTAGGTAGCTTCGTGATAGTCAGTAACATGGCTCCAGTCTGTATGAGTTAGGGTATGTAATCTTAGTTGCTGTAGCAACTCCTGCCACAATGCAAACAGTACCCAGAACTCAGAGGGCCTTTCTGAGGCAGGCTTCTGCCTTTCCATGCAGAAACATTTTCTGAGACGTCCATCTCTGTTCTTTCAGTCACCTCCTCAAACACAGTCCAAAAAAAAAAAATCCTGTGGCTTTGAGTGATTCCAGGAGGGAACTAGGGGCATGAGAATGACAGCCATCTTGTCCAAACGTCACAGCAGAGGTCCTATATCTGGGGTCTGGAAGGGAGAGCACCAGGTTGACCCTATCTAGACCGTTCTTCCCTCCCCACATCCCACCTCTGACAAAGATACAGAGAAAGAAGAGAAAGGTCTCCTGAAGGGCATCAGGAGTCGGCATGATCTAGGGAGTGACAGTGAGGTGTGGATGTCCCTGCAGAGATGCAGTATCACAGTCTACTCACTGAAAGGCAGCAGGAAGGACTGTCGGTCCTGCTGTCCTGCCCTTGTTCTCTGCTGTACTTTGAGTGGCCACCCCATTGCTAAAACTCACATTTCAGTTCCTACTCTTTGCCCTCACCTAATGGCCTCTTCAGATTTCAGCCTGAGGATTCTAGGGCAGAGATCAATGACCAATGACCTAATTTTTGTAGCTCATCTGCCAGTGTGCCTGGCTCCGCTTAGCTGAAAAAATAGAATGGTGATACCTACCTATAATACCAACAGTCGAGAGACAGAAGCAGGGAGAGTAGAGGTCTAAATTTGTCCTTTTACACAGAGAGTTCAAGGCCAGTCTGAGAGATATATGATCCTGTCTCAAAGGGAAAGGAAATAACAATGCCAGAAATTCTCCCTCCAAAACAAGAAAAACTCACCACCACCACCACCACCACCACCACCACCACCACCACCACCAACACCACCACACACACACATACATGCACACAAAACCTTAAGAAAATACCTCTGGGGAGTCCTGGAAAGATAGCTCAGTGGTTAAGAGAATTTATTTTTCTTGCAGAGAATCTGGGTTCAATTCCCAGCACCCACATGATGGCTCACAACCATCAGTAACTCCAGTTTCAGGATGCACAGACATAGATGCTAGAAAAACACTCTCACACACACCACACACAAGAAAATAAATAAATCATAAAAAGAGAAAATACACATGATGCCTTCCAGACAGAGGCTACTTTACAGTCTAGGGGATCACTACATTTGTTTATTTATTATTTATTTATTTCCCCTTTTGTTTGAGACAGGGTCTCTCCTAAGAAGTTTAGCTGCCTACTGTTGTGGTAAATATTTAATATTAACTTGGGTATTTCTTCCCACCTTGGATCATTTAGTCACCAGATATGTTGCCTGTGCCCTGGACTACTCACTGCCTGACCCTACTCTTGGAGGTTGGTGTTGAGGTGGTGCAGAGTCAATGTCACAAACTCCGAGAGCAGGTGAGAAACACTGCAGCAAGCTCTCTGAACACTGCTGCAAGCTCCTTTAATACCCTCCACCCACGCCCCATTGGTCCTAAGCAAGCAGCTCTTCTAAACACCAGTTCCTGATTGGCTGGCATTGTCTGTACCAGCAATCCTTGGTCTCCCAGGCAGTCCTCAATTAGGTCCTCCTGTAGGAAATGCTTTTTTGGCTGCATAGCCCCCAGCATTTACATAGAGGCAGCCCTGCTCTTCCTGCTACTTATCCACCCTTTTGATTTTAGATTTTGACAGCCTAGTGAGAGCTGAAATGCCTTTGCCTCAACATTGTTGACCCCACCTTGGAGGATTTCCAGTATAGTGGACTGTGTCTGTCTTGGGTTGTCCTATCTTATAAGATTTTACTCATCATTGACTACCAGCCCTCAAAGAGCTATCACTCCGGAGGCATGTCACAAAAGAGGGAGATG